CTGTATCGTTATCGTTGTGGTATAAACTATGCTATTCTTTAATATTGAGAACGATTTTTAGAACTATATCTTTATCGTTATCTTTATAGTTATCGTGCTTGGTGTGAACGGGCCTTAAGAGTCAGTTCATTTTAGTGAATCAAACACATACAGCTTACAACTAACTATAAGTGTAGTTATTTACTGGTTGTTTATATAATACTGTATGTAGTTAAAGATGCATATAATGAATTTTGATATAAATTTTATAAAAATAATAAATTAATGAAATGTTTCTTTATTATTGCTGTTTAATATGCTAATTATTAGATTAAATTTATGCTGCCTATAAAAACTGAAAAGTCATGAAAATTTTTAAAAGTGTAAACATATATTTATAAATATTTATTATTGGAATCATCACATATTTTGCCAATGAAATCAAACACTAAAAGAATCATTAATGAAACTCCCCCATGACTACGCATATATGTAGTGGTAATTAATATTTACGTAAGTTTAAGGTAAGTTTTTTGCTTGCAGACCATTGAGGACTGGAAGTATGTAGCCATGGTGATCGACCGGCTCTTCCTCTGGATTTTTATCCTGGTGTGTGTCGTCGGCACACTCGGACTCTTTGTTCAGCCTCTCTTTCAGAGCTACAACACCCCCGTGGCAGAGGAAGAGTGAGTCACATCTTTCTTTCTCTACTTCTTCTCTTTAATTCATGATAGAGGAGTGTTTAGAGGCAAGTGCCTTCCAGAGTTTTGTAAACTTCTTCTGCATTTAACAACAGTGTCACCTTCGATGTGGAAAAGTTTACTGATGCATCTGCTTCTCTCTGTCCTTCCCTGCCTTTTCCCATCATATTCTTCTCTTTCCCGTGTCTTCCTTTTGCAGATATGGGGATTTCTAAAATATCTGCTGAGTGATCCTGTGACTTTGGGGCGTACCTGTTGTCTGAGCTTTGACGTATCACAAACACATATCCACATTAACGTTCAGCAGAACAGAACCATTGTGGGGCGAATTCACTAAACAGTTACATTAGCGTATGGTGTTTCAGCGCAAAATCACAAACCACCCGCAATCCATTTTAAGCAGCATTGTGCATTTACATTCATTCTTTTCTTGGCAAACCGCCTTTCTATGCAAATTAGGCTTCTTATAGCATGTGTATTCAAAAAATGAGTGCTGTGTAACTGGTACAATTAACGTTGCGCTATTATCGCCCGTAGAAAGCTGGCTGTAAACACAATTGTATGTAAAACAGACATTTGTTTAAATTTTCTACTGATCATGGTAGCAGTAAATTATCAAATGATGATTAATTGGAGTAGAGCGTTATAATCAGCCATAAAACCAGCCATTACTCGATTTGCATAATTCCTTTAGATGCAGATAAACACATCTGCTGGTTCTGTTCCTTCTTAGTGAATTCCCTCTGTGTGTCACATGACAAACAGTCTCAAAGCTATAAACCAATGATCCCGTTTCTTTAATTAAAGGTGCTGTATGTCATTTTTTGACTGTAGTAAAGCATACAAATACCATAATAGATTTGCAGATATTTAGGAAATATGTTTCACATACTTGTTTTTCCGAAAAACAATGCTACAGCCAGTTATTCTACTTTTAAATGTGCGTTCTGTGTCAGATTGTCTGTTTTTGTTTTGGTCTGTGTGATTCCGCCCACTGCCAGTTTACCCAGTAGGATTTCGACACCCCGGGTTGCCAGTGTACTGCAGCCATGGAAGCCAGCAAACGAACTGTGTCAGAGATCACAGATTCTACCCGACTTAAAAAGTCTTGAGATCCAACTAAAAGTCTCTGTGACCAGAGGGAATATTAAAACATGCATAAATCAGCTTACAGTGTAAGGCTCGTCGCCTTCAGTTGTCAGTTGCGCTCGCTCCTGTTGCATGTTCTCAATCTGGCAACCCGTGTGAGCGTGGAGTCTGAGGAGGAGGGACTGGAGAAACAATATTTGACATTTGGACTGCAGTACCTATTTCAACCACTAGCTCAAAATTACATACTGCACCTTTAAGAGTTTCTCATTTGAATAATAATAGCATTATATGACAGCTGTCATTGCAGCCAAATTGTTGTATAACTATAATATTTATACGGTTTATGTAGTGTTCACTTTCATATTTTTTCAAGGCACACATTCACATCTATTAAAGAAGGTTTACAGGGTTTCAAGAGCAGGATGATTATCAGAGACCTTGATGCAAGGACTCATTTTCTCCTTCTTGCTTGACCTCACACAAATGCATTGACACAAACTGTAGTTCACTCAGTATTGTTTGATATGAACGTTTGATTAATGGCTGTAAGTGGTTTTTCCGGAACTGAATCACATTTTAATTGCCTTAAAATAAAGTTTCATGCTGTGATTGAAAAGCACTTCACCACCACAAAAGTATGATCTTTAAGCATTCAAAATAAGCATTGTAAATATAAAAATAATACAATAAAACGTGTTTCCTTCATTTCTTTCAGTGTTGCTTTTCATGTGAGAGCAGTTTCTTTATTTCTGCATTTTCTGTATCTTTGTATTTCTTTTATTGCACGTTCAATTTTTATGTTCCTTCTTTGAATCGAGAGTGTCCATTTACAAGGGAACAAAAATGCACGTTTCCTATAGACAATCTTTCATTATTGATATTTGGTTTATATATTATATGATACACATCGTGGTGCTTATCTGATTGAAAATGTCTATGTGTCTGAGGTATCAACACGTAGACAAAGTTTTACACTTTTAACTGATACTTCAGTAAAATGCAGGCACCGGGTAGCATAATGAATGTAGATGCCTTCGCTAATCTTTCTTCCGACATTAGCATGGAAAATATCCCATTGCTATGGAAACCACTAAGACATGGGTGTGCATCCATTTTAAAGTGGCCTTCCCCATGTCAATCATAGAGGGATAAATCCTTCACGTGGTAATGATGAAAGGTAGAGCTTTATCATTTTAAATATTTCCATGAATGTGTGATTACATTATTAAAATTGCCTTTAAGATTATTAAAATGATTATTTGTTTCATTTCGGGACCTCATATGCAGTATATAATTCTATGTACACATTATTCTTCAAACATAAAACATAACCCTGTAAGGTCCTCCAGTTCAATAAACTGTTCCATTAAAAGAAAAAAAAAAAATGGTGCAGTTTATATGGCCAAAAAGTAAGATGAAATTCTGATAACATTCAATGCAAATCAACGAGAAGCTTGGTTTTATGATCAAAGCTCTGAAGTTTTAATTTTGGAAGGGGAAAAATATATAATGCAATGCAATACAATAATGATTAAGAGATGTACTAATAAACATTCCTCAAAATATGTATTTGATTATAACATGATGTTTCTAAAAAAAATATGATGAATGGTTAATCAAGTAAACCTTGCTTCAGTCCAGTAAGTGCTCAAATTTAAATACTACTAATAATATAAAATGTATTCTTAGGTGTACTGTACTTTATGAAAATCATTAAATATTTCACAGCAAAAAGGCTTGCATACCAAAACCTGAAGGGGGAACTTTTCAGAATTTGAGACCTTAAATATATATAAACCATCAATCAGACGACAGGAGGCATGTAGTAGTTTGTGTACAGAGTTTTGTGTATCAAATATGATACAGTAGGCTTTATAAAGTTAAAACACATAGAATTTGAATGGAATATGAGATTTTTTTCAAGGTCTGACTTGCAGGAATAATTGGTGTTCTTACTGAAATGTACCTACAATGGCGGTTGATGAGCCACTCAATGGGCCCTAAGTAGTGATGCTATATGGATGCAGCCTTTGTTACCGAAAACTGTCTCACTATGCTAGGAAAATGCCTAAATGTTTTTCTAATGATCCTTGAATTTGCGAGAATGCAATACTGGGATCCCTGCCATGAGGCACCATGCATGACAAATTACCCATCTGAGAGAAAATTGGCACCAGCATTTGACCCAATGAGACAAAGGCCAAAAGCGGACTGTAATGCTTCAAAGCTGTCCTCACCTTCAATTTAACTTTTTCTCTAGAAATTTAAACTATTCTCTTCTTTTTTCACCCTTGAAATATTCCAAGTGTGTGTGTGTGTGTGTGTGCATGAATGACATTCATTACTTCAGTTCATAAATGAATTAGTCTTCTTCCATAGTATTCCTCTGCAGTGTGTAAATGAGCATGAGTAAGTCTGTATGTCTGCACATGTGAACAGAGACATACTGGCTTCCTTTATGGTCTTTTCTGATGCCTGCACTCATCTTTTCATTGCTTATCTCACTGTGAGTGGTTAAACGAACACATAAAACATATAAACCCTAACTGAATGTCCTCTTCTCTACTCATCTACTCATACATTCTGTCACGTCAACAAAATACACCCACTTCTCAGAGTGGACATAAAACATCATGATGTATTGTTTAAATCTCTGTCATGTATTCGTAACATCACGAGAAGCATCACAAGAAGCTGTTCCTGTTGTAAATACGCACTTAAGCTGATCTTAATTTGAGTCACTAAAAATGATTTGAAATAAGGAGACAATTAGAGCGATATGGGAGAACTGTGGCCGTAAAATAAGAGGAATGAAAGAAAATCCATGAAATATGTTATTTGTCCAGAGTTGAGAGCTGTCTGGTCTATTTATATATTTATTTTTTTTATTTGCACATATATTTTCAGCTGCCCATAGCGATGATGTCTGGGGGAAGATTTAACATGGTGGAAACTTCATTGCCTCAGCAGAGACGGCTGCTGTTGTCTGCAATGCTGCTGATCAGCAGAAATGCCCTCCATTGCTTATAGCATGCTGAGATATCGACGTCTCTCATATTTACTGTTAGATTCTGACATATGCACTGGTGCATTCAGAAATGTGGAGAAAGGAGGGATGCATTTGTCGGTTTCAGTGTATATCTTGAATTAAATATATAATATAAGTGATGATAATAATAATAATAATAACAAATAATACAGATTTATGCTCAAATAGAGTGTTTATTATCTAAACATAGTATAAATTTGTGTGTGTTGGGGATATGACCTTGAAACAAGGTCATACTTTTTTAGGGAATTTTTTTTATTTTTGGCTCAATTTATATGCACAGTTAGATTTTTATATGCGATCCTGGACCACAAAACCAGTCATAAGCGTAAATTTTTTTAAATTGAGATTTATATATCATCTGAAAGCTGAATAAATAAGCTTTCCATGATTTTTTAGGATAAGACAATATTTGGCCGAGATACAACTATTTGAAAATCTGAAATCTGAGGGTGCAAAAAAAAAAAATCTAAATATTGAGAAAATCGCCTTTAAAGTTGTCCAAATGAAGTTCTTAGCAATGCATATTACTAATCAAAAATTACGTTTTGATATATTTACGGTAGGAAATTTACAAAATATCTTCATAGAACATGATCTTTACTTAATATCCTAATGATTTTTGGCATTAAAGAAAAATCGATAATTTTGACCCATACAATGTTTTTTTTTGGCTATTGCTACAAATATACCCCAGCGACTTAAGACTGGTTTTGTGCTCCAGGGTCACATATTATGTTTGCTCAATTAAATTTTTATCACGTGCAATAGTTTGACCTAATAGCTTATTAAACTATGTTTGAAAATACTCTTACAAAATATACAGAAATGTCTGTAAAAACACAACCAAATGTAAACATAGATAGATGATAGATGATAGAAAATAGATAGAGGACATATATGACAGAAGGAATTAGATACTCTCACTAAGTGTATAAAAGTTCACAAAGCCTCCAGAGCTCTTTAGATTATTCCAGAATGTTTGCTTTGGTCGAGAGTGGCATTTCTGGGCTTGTTTCGCCAGAATTATCAGTGCAAACTGCTGGGCCCTTTAGTCAAACCAGTCTTCTGCAGATTTGCCAGACAGCTCTTTGCCTGTTGTTTTGCTGTGATTTTACAGCTGGAACACTGCCCATCTTAAAATGTTGAGGGTGAGAGAGAGGACGAGAAAGAGAGAAAAAATAAAGAAAGCATGTGACAGAGAAAACTATAAATACCATTAGAAAGGGGTAATCTGAGGAGCCTGTGAGCCTCTCCCAGATATCTCTCATTAAATATTGTCTTAAGGTCGCATGTCCCCAGAGGCTTATGGAGAGACTGTGCTTGCGTTTGATCACTCTTGCTGCCATTGAAGATTAAAAATAACAGAACGCAGTGATGTTAACTACTAACACTAACCACACCCAGCTGTCATTTCAAAACAGCACATAAGGACTCCTTAACACTCTGTTAGGACTCTATAGTCTACAATCACAAGGTCAAATTCACAGGCTTGCTTTGATTGCATAATTGCTGCCCTGTATTTCTGCTTGATTGAAAAAAAAAACTGTTATTTTAATTCAGGAAGAATTATGTACTCAAATTCAAAATGAATCATGTCTCCATTTAAATGTCATGCATATGTGGGTGTTTCTTGTGACTTTTAGAAAAAAAATCTAATCTAGAAATCTAAAAAGATTTCTACCAGTGTCATTTCCACTACATCTCAAACGATTGTATTTACTATCATTCT